TCAAAGAAACAAGAAATTTAATGGAGTCTAAACTATAAGTAACTATTAATCCAAGTTCATGGGTAATCTCAGTTACCCATGAAGCTTTGACAGAAGCACAAAAGTAAAATAAAATAAAATCTGAGTGGTAAATGTTTCTGGTTTATCTGGTTTATCTTTTTTCAGTATTTCTTTTTTCTTTATTTCTGAGATTTTCCTTTCACATTTCTCACCCACATATTTAATCCAATAAATAGGCAAAAACAAGTCGTAAATATTACAATTACATTTTTCTAGTTATGTTGAGCTGATTGGCCAAAGTTGGCTGTTTGTAGATTCAGGAGCTACTGACCAAAGTTTTCATTCCTTAAATTGCTCTCTGTTTTAATTTCTTTTTTGAATTACTACCAAACTCCTTTGGAGCTACACATGCCAGTTCTAAGTCTGAATCAGTAGTTTGGTGCCAATGACTGTAGTACAAAATGAGCTTTAATGCTTTCTATTTAAAAACTTTAAATGTAAAGCTGCAGAGTCAGTAGCTGTTTCTACCAGAAATCCCATTCACTTTGCCCCTGTTTTCATTGTCTTTTTTTTTTGTTTTTGCGATATTATAAAAACAGCAAAAACTGATTCTTTGTTTGACATTACGAGTGTCACAGCAGGGGTTACCGGCACTGCCTGTACACCCAACTGGGTTTTTGTCAAAACAGCTGGAGGATATTTGGGCTCAGATGGTTGCTGTGGCCAAGAGCCCAGTCACCCCAGATAAGCAGCTGCTCATCTCTGAAATAAAATTAAAAGCATGGAGAAACACTGGAAAATGTGGAGGAAAATATGGTGCCACAGATTGGTTTGTCAGCAGTGATTAAAAGTCTAACATTCTGGATTGCTATTATGTTGAAATGTTCTTATTTTTCACTTTCAAATCACTTTCCTTGATTTGAATATTGCTATCCTTTAAGTGGGAAAATTGCTCATAACTTTATGGAGTGTTCTCAAGTCGGAAAAACTAAGGTTTTGGTGACAGTTCAGATGCACTGCAACACCATCAAATAGAAATGCTGTAGAAGGACATTAAAGAAAATGGAAGTTGAATAAAATAATTGGAAATAAGAAAAAAACACAAAAGACAACAGAAATAGAAAAAAACACCATAAAAAAACACTTAAAAAAACACAACAGAAGTGTTTTAGGTGAGACAATAACACGATGAAACAGTTGTGGAAATGACAAGCTAATACTAAACAGCCTTTTGCAACACTGATGAAGCTTCTGCTTTTCTTAACCGTGTATCAGTGCAATCCTTTCGTCACTTTAAGTTGTGTTTTGTGAGATTTTGCTTAAAGTTACTTTTATTGATCCAACTTTTTGATTCAACTTTTGTTGTGATTTGTGTGCTTTTGCAGCATTTTTCTATTTGCTGGTGTTTTCCTAAGTTGCAGTGCATTTGAACTCTCAAGTACACCCTAGAGCAATGTGTATAAAAAGGGTTTCATCTGTTTATTGAAATGTGGAATGACTCATATGTATAATGTCAGAAATGGAGTTTCAAAATGTACTGTAACTGCTCCCAGTCCTTACACTAAACCACTGAACATAATTTTACTACGTACCATGAGTATTGATAATTACGGTACAATACAGTAGTAAGTTCATCGCTAAACTTCATCACTAAATACTGCAACATGTTTGTTAAAGAACAGTACACTTTTTCATTTCATGAAACACTTCAGCTGCTTTCACTGCTGATATGTCTAATGACACTTCGGCAGACAACATCACATTTAGTGTGTGTATAATGTATAATGTCCACTTACACTGACTCAGGTACATCTCAGGTCGTTATCGTAGAAATCCCTTTGAAAAATTATGCTTATCCTTCATTTGAAGTGACACTTTCTCTTCAACTGCAAACTTCATAGCTGACATATGAAAATGGATTTCAGGTGATGTAACAGCATACAGTCCAGCTCACATTTCAGCTTCTTATGATTAAACCTCATTAATTTCACTGCATTCACACACCATTTGTCTTCACTTTTCCACATCTCCAAGTTTTACATTTTATGTTGTGTTATATGCTTTCAAGTGACTCTTGACCCATGTTTTAATGAATCTCCAGGTTTATCTGCAGTTCTTTTTTTAACTGCCACTTTTACTTCCTTAGTTAATACACAAAGAAGTAAACAATGTTTAAGAAAGAATATATTTATTCTTTCTTTTAACCTTTATTTTTAACTGAAACAGTTCAACACAAATATGAAAGTACAGTGTGTACTGACATTTCAGTTTCTTAAGCACTTACATTTCACGTAATGTTTTTGTTTTGCAAATATTTGAAAAACTTTTGTAATATGATTTCTGACGCATATGTACAGCCATTCATTAGTGTGTAATGTGTTATCCTCACTAGTGCAATTTGAGGTTCTACTTGCCTGAGGACAATTTGATGTGTGCACTGTAAGTGTCAGGGACTAAAACCACTGATCTTCTGAATAGTGAACAACTTTTGCCACCTCCTGAGCACCAGCTGCCGTAAAGTTTTTGTCTTTACACTTTACTAGTGATGTGCCAGTGGCGAACGAAACAGCTCTTAGAGCCGACACTTTGACGTGAACGACGCGAACCGACTCTTTAACGGGAGCCGTGGGTTTATTTCTCTCACCCTCTCTCTCTCACACTTTTTTCCCGCTTCACTCCGCACGCCAGCCTTGTGCTTTGCGCTGGGCGGGGGAGGAGGGAGGGGCGGTAGTTGCACTCGCAGTAGCACAGGAACAGAGCGGGAGGGAGAGAGAGAGAGAAAGAGAGCCAGGGACAACAACATCACATTAGAAAGGTATAGTAATCATCCACAACTATTTTCAGTTGCAGATGATAAAGGATTCACAAAGTTTATTCATGCAGGCCCATATGTCAGAGAATGTGCATCTTCTTTTTGTTTTCATATTTTTTATATTTATATTTAATTGTGTTGTGGTTTGCAGTGTTTTGTGTTGTTTCACTTTAAATTTGTTTAAAAGGAAAAAGCTGAAAATTTAAATAGTTAAA